AGGCACAGGGCAGGAGCTCTGGAATCAAGATGGGACTTGATAGAAAGGTAGGTACGTATTGAATTCTCTAGAATGGCAGACTTTCTGTTTCCGTATTGAGAGAGTGCTCAAAAAACTTATATTGGGAGGCCCCCAAAATACATTTTATAGAAGCCATAAGTTTTGCTAAATTTTCCTTTCCAATATTATAGTTGATCTGTGATTTCATTCAGTGTGTTGCATTTTATTCCCAACAGTGCAGATAGCAGTCTGTCCATGTCTGCCCATTTTGAGTAACTCCAGTCCATGCTTTTTTCATAAATTCACCACAAGTCAAGGGAATCCTCTACGTTTTCCTCATAATAGCAGGCATCCAGTGGGCCACTTGAATTGACCCAACAGCTCACTTTTTCTGATGTAAACAGTCCATATTTTTGGCCTTTTAACGTTAGTATATTTCTGACTCTTCATCTTGTTGTCCAAAGCATTATTTTTTTAAAATTTAAATATTAGGGATTCTTGTCATTCTTTGTTAAAAGAAATATAACCTTGTTTTGCAGTTATGTGGTAGTGTAAAAAAGACTGGCTTTGTAATTGGAAGACCTAAATTTGAAGCCTGATACTAATACTTCCTACTTGTATGACCTGAAGTAAATTACTTTGTCCCTCAGGCCCTCAGTTTCTTCATGTGTAAAATGGAGACCTAATTCAGAAACCTATGGAATTGTCATCAAATTCTACAATACCTTTTGTAAAACTTTATGTAATCTTGTTTGGTGATTGCCCCATCATAGCTTTAGGTGATGTCTTCCTGTAAATTTGAGTTTAGGGGTCGTGTGAGGTCTTTAAGAGACTGTAGGCCTAGTTTTTAAGCTCATGACTGGCTTTAGCATTGATTTTGATGATATCGATAGATGATGATATATTGATTTATATATTTTTTTGCACATAGTAAGCACTTACTAAATACTTTTAAATTCATTCATTCATTTCTTTAGAAATTAACCTTAAATAAATTTACTTCTCTGTGCTTCATTTTTTTGGTTTTTAAAATCAAGACAACATAGACACAGGAAGAGGTTGTTACTACACATGAAATATTCTTCCAAAAATGTTATATAGTTATCAGTTGACATTATTTTTCAAGGAGAACCATGGAGCTTTAATGTAATTATTATAATAAAGCTATAAAAAATAAATCATTATTTTAAGTAAATCATTTATTTCTGTAGGCATTTATTATATTCCTGCTATGTGCAAAATGCCAAGTTAGCTTTGTGGGAATGGAAAGACAAAAAATGAGAAACAGTTCCTAGATTTAAGGAACTGATTTTGCACTAGAGTCTAGTTTCTACTGAAATTTTTATTTTCTCTATTCAGGTATAAAACTTTGGATAAGTTTTAATTTGAGATAATATTTAGGGACACTTTTTAAACTTTTGATTTTTCACCAACAGTCCTTTGTAGTCATTCAGTGACTTTATAAAAAATCATCTTTATAAAAATAATTGTTCCTATTGAATTTAACTGTTGGCTTTCGCCTATGCTTATATTGAACCAAGAGAAGATGTTTTGTGATTTAGAGTCATAATTGAAAATTGTGAAAGGTCCCTTCCAACTCTAAATGTATGATCCTAAATAATGGATGTTACCGGGACTGTGTTTTCTTCACCGTTACTTATTTTCATTTCCAATGTATGCTATGTAAAATAGCTATAAAAAGTTAACTTAATAGCTTAACTCATGTATCTTCTGAAAGGCTATACCTGATCAGCCTTGAGTAATAATACCAATAGGTGACTTTACCATGTTTCTCCATCTGGTTTCTTGATTTCCTGATGTGAAGATATCTTCTTAATATACTCCATGCTCTTTTCTTTTCTTCTATCCCCATCACCTTCTGCCTTTAGCAGAAGAATTTCTTTTTGTATAAGATAGATTCTTTCAAAGCAGAATTCTATATCTGGGCTCTATCTTGCATTTTTCCAGTATTCTCTATCATATTAAATAAGCCTCCTGACATTAGAATGTCTTTTATATGTTGTACATAGATATTTGAGGCTTTTTTTTTTTTGGTAGGTTCTGCCTTAGATATTGCTTTCTCTGAATTTCTAGGCATCTCTACTACATTCACTCCTCTATGGTGTAGCTATTCTCTATAGTATCTGGATTGTGGGTATACACAGGTGATTTTCTCCCTTTCCCCTTTGATTCAGTTCAGAGCCATTTTGATTAATTTGCAACACACTAGTCTTGTTCATACTTACCCACACTGATTTATTTAAATATTTTACTTCCTTTTCTGTTAATCTGAGCAATTTATATTTTTGTAAATATTCATCCATTTCACTAAGATTGTCAAACTTATTGGCATACAGTTAGAAAAAATAGTTCCTAATTATTGTTTTAATTTCCTCTTCATTGGTGGTGAATTTACCCTTTTCATTTTTTATACTGGTAATTTGGTTTTCTTCTTTCTTTTTTTTAAATTAAATTAACCAAAGGTTTGTCTATTTTATTTTTTTTCATAAAACCAGCTCTTAGTTTTATTTATTAGTTCAATAGTTTTCTTAATTTCAATTTTATTAATCTCTCCTTTGGTTTTCAGTATTTCTAATTTGGTATTTGATTGGGGATTTTTAATTTGTTGTTTTTCTAGTTTTTTTTATTTTAGCTGCATGCCTAATTCATTGATCTCCTCTTTCTCTATTTTATTCATGTAAGCATTTAGAGATATAAAACTTTCCCTAACAACTGCTTTGGTTGCATCCCATAAGTTTTGGTATGTTGTCTCATTATTGTCGTTCTCTTGGATGAAGTTATTGATTGTTTCTATGATTTGGGGTTTGACCTAATCATTTTTTAGGATTAGATTATCGAGTTTCCAATTAATTTTTAGTCTGTTTTTCCATGGCCTTTTATTACATATAATTTTTATTGCATCATGACCTGAAAAGGATGCATTTAATATTTCTGCCTTTCTGCATTGGATTGTGAGGTTTTTATGCCCTAGTACATGGTCAATTTTTGTGTATCTCACAGTGGTTTAGTGCCTATTGTTCCTGTCCAGAGCTGTAGTCTTTTCTCTGCCAATACTGAGCTATGTGACCTTGGACAAGCCAGCTAACTTCATGTGGCCTCAGTTCCTTAGTGTAACATAAGCTCCTTGAGAACAAGGATTGGGTCACTTTTGTGTATTATATCTACAGGATCTAGCAAAGTAGATCATAGGATCACATATCTTTCATTGAAAGGGACCTCACACATTTATACAACCTTCTTGCTGGTCCTTGAAATGTAATACTTACGAGAGTACTTATGCAGAAGAGTCTCTTGAGAAATTTTCAACACGTTTATTGAGTATCTATTGAGTGTCCACGAAAGTTAATCAGTGGTAGTACCCATTATATGCCCTCATAGAGTTCATATTCTAAGATGGACAAATTTTCATAGATAAAACCAGAGTAAAAGAGCCACATGAGGCTGACCAATGTGAATAAGGTAGCATTTTTTGGTCAAACATATAAGGAAATGCCTAAATTTGTTTCTATAACAAATGACATTTTTAGGGATTAATTGGGGAAATTATGAAAAGTACCGAACATGAATGCTAAAGAATTCTTTTTCCTCTCAGGACTTGGTAATATCCTGAATTATGCTATTTTGGTAAAAATATTATCCTGGGAATTTGAAATCAAAGCTTAGACAAAAAGATTCATTTTAGAAAAAGAAGCTGTGACTCATTTATAGTTTCTTAAATTATTTGTTAATAGCTATATAAAATAGTATAAGAGAATATTTAGTTGCATTATGCTAAGAAATTAAAATTTACTTCTCCTTTAAGAGAGTCTTATTAGATTTGGTTTAATGGGGAAGAGAAGATGCTTATTAATTTTTGAAACTTTTCACATAAAATATTTTAAACCAGATGTACATTGACAACCTTTCAAATATTTGATGGCAATTATCATCTATGGCTCCTCTATCACTTCTTTTTTCTTCCTTAAAACCATTCCTTCAATAGTTCCATATATGAATGTAAGCTCTTTCAAGCCAGAAACTACTTTTCATTTTGTTCTTTGTAACTCCAACTGATGATTGAATGTTCATTATTCAGCATAAACCTGAACATAAAATAGTCTCATCCTTTTAGGTGCCTACTTGCTAAGTCAGGTATGAACTCATATGAAGCATACAATCACAACATGGTATTCTAATGTTCAGCAAACCCCAAAACTCTAGGTACTGGGAAAAGGATTTACTATTTGACAAAAACTTCTGGGAAACTGGAAAGCAATCTGGCAGAAATTTGTATTAGATCAACATCTTATACCATAAACCAAGATAAACTCAAAGTAGATGTATGACATAGATATAGGTAGACTAGAGGAACAAGAAGAAATCACCTTTCAGATCTAGGATAGAAGAACTTCAGCATTACCATGGAGGCAAGTGGCTCAGTGGATAGAGTGCTGGGCCTGAAGTCAGGAAGACTTGAGTTCAAATCCAGCCTCAGACATGCACTAGCTATGTGACCTTGGGCAAGTTACTTAATCTCTGTTTGCCTTAGTCCACTAGAGAAGGAAATGGCAACCACTCCAGTATATTTACCAAGAAAATCCCATGGACCAATATATTGACATGATATGGTCCCTGGGGTTATGAAGAGTCAGACATGATGGAACAGCAACAACAATCATTTCCTCAGTGCTTTTCTAAACATAAGAAATGTGTATCTTTGAATTTATTGAATATTGGATTAACATAGATGCAGCCTAACTTGATGAGACTAGAGCAGAGATAAGTGGATCAGAATACTGTTATTTACTTACATGATGCTGTAGGGCTACTTGTGAAATCTGATCACCTTTTTTGCTTCTGAATAGAAGTTGTTAGTAAAGGTATAGAATTTTTAGTGTTATTTTTAATAGACCTTTTACATTTCTTGAGAGATCTAGAATAGTAATATACACAGATGAGGTCATCTATTAATTCAGTTACATTTATCTTCATTTCTCTAGATAAGTTCCACTGAAATTTTGGAATATTCCTCAGATGTTGAAAAACAAGAAGATGTAAAGAATGTGTTACCCACCAATTTAGGAGCTGCTCACAAATACCACTTGAATTTTGGATTAGATTTAGAACAAGACAAAGGAAGACCTGCAAGTGACTGGATAAAATCTGCACAGGTCCTTTTACATACCCCTAAGAAAGAAACAGATAAGACTCCTAGGACTCCAGAAGATTCTGCAAAAAAAAAGAAAAAGAAACTATTAAGGTAAACTTATGACTTTTTTTATTATTTGGCTTTTGTAGTTTTTCTCTTTAAAAGCCCCAATATTTTTAAAATACTGTTTTTTTTTTAACTTATTTGCCTGCTTTTAAGGGGAAACTGGCAGAATAAGATTGCAGTTCTTATAAGCAATTAAAGAAGGCCTATGATTTGCATGAGAATTTCTACAAGTTCGGCATTCACAATTTTAGTAGTAACCATTCTGTACTCCCTTAGATTCAGTGACACTGCTTATTCTTGGTTTCTTGCTGTTATTCTTTCCTCTCCTACTCAGTGTTATTATCACTGCATTTGGTCATTATCAAAAACAAGTGTCATGTGTGTTATGAATACATGTTGACCAGTGTCAATGGAGGATCCATTTTGTGGGACATGAATTTGTATAGAGAAACTATGTCCAACCATTTGATAATAGTCTAGTGAGAGAATATGTTTAAACAAATATTCTCCACCAATTTTAAGATGTCATTTTTCTTCATAATTTCTAATAAATGTGATGAAATGAAGGCTCTTTTATAAGCCTTTAACATCATTTCATTATAGTCAAGTCATGTCAGCAAGCATTAATTAAGCATGTACTATGTGCCAGGCACTGTACTATGTGCTGGTTAAGCTCTTTATAGAGCTTTCTGTCCTACTTAATCAATATAGGCTCCATTTCTTTAGTGTCACCACCACCTTCCTTGGTGTCATGTTTGGCTCTTTCCTTTCCCTTGCCATACATATCTGATCATTTGCAAAGTTCCGCCTTTTCTACCAATTTGTAGTATGTCTTTCACCCAACTCCACCTGTCTATTACCGTTTGGGACCCCAGTTGTTTCAGGCACTTACCTCTTTTCCTCTAGACTATATAATACCCTCTTAATTGGTCTTCTTTTTCTAGTCTGTCTCTTCCCTATTTAATCTTCTTAACTGTTACCTAAACAGTCTTCTCTGAGATCTGCTATTATCATACCACTCCTCTATTCAAGGACCTTTCATTGACTCACTTTACCTACTACTGGAGAGGCATCATATTGTAGTGGAAGGTTTGCAGGCTGAAGAATCAAATGAACTGGGTTCATTTCCCAGCCCTAGTACTTACTAACTCTGTGATCCTGGGCAGGCAGCTTAACCTTTGTAAGCCTCAGTTTCCACTTCTGTAAATTGATAATAATGAATGAACTATCCATTTAACAGTATTGTCAGAAAAAATGTTTTCTAAACTTTTTTCTCCAAGGTCACTAATTCCTAGAAAGAGTCATTTACATTTACATTCGCTTCCTTACCACCCACTCATTTCCCGATAACTTTCAATTTTTGAAAATCTCAGTTGAAACTATTGAAACTTCTCTGTGAAAGTGCTTAAATGCCAACTCTGGTGATCATTTCTCAAATCTCATCCTCCTTGATGCTTTGTAGCTTTTTGACACTGTTGACCTCCTTTCTTGTCTTTGATAACTTTACTCACTGACCGTTAATATCTCACCATTTGTGATTATCTCAGCTGAGCTGGGAGGCAGGTACAAATTTCCCTTTCCTTACATTTGTATTTGGACTAAGTGATTACATTTTATATTTTTGTTCTGGAGCTGTTTCCTTTGGGGGGGTGTTCGTTCAGCATGTACTTACTAAATGTCTACAACATTTAAGGAATTGGGCTATATGCATGGTACCAAATACAAAGGTCTCTAGCTCTGAAACTATCGACAAGTCACTTAATCTCTCTGAGGTTTAGCTTCCTCATCTGTAAAATGGAGATAATAATACCTGTAACAACTCTTTCACAAGGTTATTCTGAAGTTCAAAGAACATATTGTGTGTTTGGTGCCTTATAACCTTTAAAGTTCACTATAAATTTTCAAGTATACATAATTAGATTATGGTAATTTAGTTATCAAGCACAGATTTCTGAATGATCAGATGAGCAGATTTAAATGGTTGACATGGATCACTGAATTTATGTTGTGTATTATGCTTGTGAAGCCTTTCACAGCATGGGTGATAGTTAATCTTATAAAGTAGGTCAATAGTTTCATAGGTCATTGATCATAGGTACTTTCATACTTTAAATACCTATCAGTACAAAATTTGGAATTATCCTTATTAAGGCCTTTTATAAGATGTGCTCTACACCTCTGTGTAAGTATTAAAAATGTAAGTATTTATGATATTACTTATATACTGGTTATTTAATATTGCTACATGCACATACCCTACAGTGTAGAAAATTGCCTAAAAGAATTTTATTCAACTTACTCAATTTTTGTCAGATCCATCCTTCATTTACTCTTTCTGTTTTAGTCATCTCTACTTTCTCTATTCCTACTCACAAAAGATAACCTTTATCTTCGAGTACGTACATGGGATTTCCCATTAAAGTCTTGAGAAAACCCAAATTAAAAGACGATGATCTTTTATTTTAATTTTATTACCAGATTTCCTTTAGTTCTACCTTAGATCTTTATTTTATTTTGAGCATATTCTTGCCTAATCAGTCTTTTTCTTATCCTATATTTGAGGTAAAGGGCAGTAGGGATTCTAGCCATGTACTATTTTGCCTAGTAATATAGCCTTGTTCTAAATCAGAGATGTCAAACGTGTTGCTGACAATGCTGCCTGAACCAGATTAAAATGTAATTGTGAAATATTTAACAGACTAAATAAAAACAAAATAAAACAGATAATGTGTGGTAAGTGCCTCATAAACTTTAAAGTTCACTTTAAATTTTCAAGTAGACATAATTAGATTATGATAATTTAGCTTATCAAACACAGATTTCTGAATGATCAGTTGAGATTTAAATGGTTGACAGGGATTACTGAATAGTCCCTGGCTACTATAGTGTTTCTCTTCAACAGATGTTCTGCTCTATAATAGTTAATAATAATAATAGTGAGTGGGGGCAGCTAGGTGGCATAGTGGATAGAGCACTGGCCCTGGAGTCAGGAGGACCTGAATTCAAATGTGACCTCAGACACCTGACACTAGCTGTGTGAACCTGGGTGAGTCACTTAACTCCGATTGCCTCACCAAGAAGCAAAAAATAATAATAATAATGATAGCTAGTATTCATATAGTGCTTTAAGGCTTGCAAAACACTGGGTATATATTATATTATTTCATTTGATCCTCACAACAACCCTGGGAGGTAGGTATTTTATTATTATTCCCACTTTACAGGGGAGGAAACTGAGACCAATATTTCTTTCTTGTATGAAGGTTGGCCTAGATTCCCAAAGGTTATGCCAGTTGAGCTGGAAAGGCTTCAAGTGCAGTTTTGGCAAGAGAATGTATCAGCTGTCCAAGGACTTTTCCTAGTTAAATAGGGCGAAGCAACCCAGGAAATATGGACATGGCAACCCACAAAAATTTTTTTTAGAAGTTCAAAATGACTGCCAGTCTTGTGCTACTCTCTTCCAAATCTACACCGATGATGCTGGAAAGAAGCAGAAGGGTCCTGGATTCATATAATTTAGACTGTATGTAGATATAACTTTTGGTACTCTAAATATGAGTTCCTTATTCAAAGACCAACAGATTGATATATTTCTACAACAACTGAACCTTATCAGGAATGACATTCTTGCTATCAGTGAAACCAGAAGAAATGAAGAGTTTCAATGAAATTGAAGACTGGCTTACAGGTTTCTACAGAGGGAAATGAAAGAGCTGGTATAAGTGGTTTCATGGTATATATAACAGCAGGAGAAATTAATTTCATGGGATGTTTTGGCCATCTCATCTTTCAGTGCTCATGCCGAGCACAGGCAAAAAGACTTCTGTTAAGATAATCACTGCTTATGTGCCAACATTTGTTGCAGAGGATGAAGAAGTAGAGAAATTTTATAAAGAATCTGACAAGGTATTCTCAACCAGTTCAACATCATCCTTAATCTTTGGTTGCCGCAGGACCGAATAGCAAAAACAAATAAATAAATAAATAAAATAAAATAAAATAAAATAAAATAAAAGGAATTAAGAAATTAAAGAGGCCAGAGCCTTGTTTTATGTAGCCTTACATCTTATGAATAATTTTTTCCCAGAAACAGTCTTTTGGTGCCAGTCATGATAAACTTTATACCCAACAACATCACACAAAATGAAATATATCTTAAGGGACAGGAAGTACTTGATTGTTGATGTGGATGGGAGTAATTTCAGAATTACTTGTCCATTTGTAGTCAGATTATAGACTAATTTGAGAAAAGGTCAAATTAGAAGAAAGGATAAGGAAGGTGACAGTAGAGTTAGAAGAACTCTAATGTGACCTGTTGAAGCATATCTTTGATGCTGAAAAAAATAGAACATGGGTAAAAGTGAAGACACTAACTTTGATTATCAATTTTTTTTTTAAAAAAAACAGCCTTATTGTTCTTTGATGTCTTTACATCATAATTATTTCACATGGCCCTCTACATTGAATCTTGCCTTGTGACAAAGGAAAACAGTTGAGCAAAAATAGTCAATGCAGTGACCACATCTGATAATTAAACAATACTGTCTCCTAGTAGTGCTCTGGCTGTCTGCCAAGAGAAGGTCTGTTTCATTATCTTTTCCGTGGTAACTTCACTGGTTTTATGTTACTTAGAGTTTTACTTCTTTTAGTGATCTTTTCATTTACATTGCCATGGTTATGTATATTGTTCTCTTGGGTCTGCTTATTTTGGTCTTCATTAATCTATATAAATCTTCCCATGTTTTTCTCTATTCATCATTTCATACTGTGCAATAGTATCCCATTATAGTTATATATTGAGCATCTGGGTGAGGCAGTGGATAGAGTACCAGGCATAGAGTCAGGAAGATGGGTCTTCTTGAGTTCAAATCCAGCCTCAGACACTAGCTGTGTGACTCTAGGCAAGTCACTTAACCCTTTTTACCTCAGTTTCCTCATCTGTCAAATGAGCTGAAGAAGGAAATGGCAAATCACTCTTTGCCAAGAAAACCCCAAATGGGGTCACAAAGGGTATGATTCTACTGAAATGACTGAACAACAGTAGTAATATATGTGTATATATATGTATATGTGTGTGTGTGTATGTATGTGTGTGTGCATATATGTATATATATATATACACATATATATATGTGTGTGTATATATATATATATGTATGTATGTATGTATGTATTTTTTCCCCAACTATTCCTCTATCAGTGAGCTCCACCAGTATCTCACAGCTCCCCACAGTATTTCTCACAGCCCATCCAGTATTGATTTTTCTCCTCTTTTGTCACCTTTGCCACTTGACGTGGTGTGAGGTGAAACTTTAGTTACTTTAATTTGTATTTCTCTTGTTATTAGTGATTTGAAGGATGTTTTCATGTGGTCATTTACAGTTTGAATTTCTTCTGAAAACCTGTTTTAGATCTTTCAATTACTTATCTTTTGGGGAATGACTGTCCTGCTTTTTGTGTATCTGGTCTATTCTAAGGATCTCTTTTCCTGTTTTTTTTTAAAACAGCACCAAATTGTTTTGATGGTTACTATTCAGCAAATTATAATGCCTCCCCATAACCCCCATGATCAAATATAAAATCCTCCATTTGGCTTTTGTATCCACCAAAGTGTAGTCCAACTATGTCACTCCCCTACCCAGTAAACTTTAGTGGCTCCCTATCGCTTTAAGGATCAAATACACATTTCTCTGTTTGACTTAAAAAGCCCTTCATAACCTATTCCTCTCTTACCTTTACACCTTAATCTCCAATGTGTACTCTTCAATCCATTGACACTGGCCTCCTTACTGTTCCATGAGCAGCAAGGCTCTAGGTATTTTTTTTAGCGATCCCCCATTCCTGAATTCCACCTACTGACTTCTCTGACTTCCTTTAAGGCCCATCTAAAATCCCATCTGTTACAGAAAGCCTTCCTTAACCTCTCTTAATTCTAGTGCTTTCCCTCTGTTATATTTCACCTGTACATTTCTTGCTTTATATATATTTCTTTGCATTTTGTCTCCCTCATCAGATTGTCCTCCTTGAGGGGTAGGGACTATTTATTTTTGGCTCTTTTAGTATTCTTAAGGCTTAGCATAGGATACTTACAAGGTTAAAACATTTGACTTAAGGTGACCAAAAGTTACTCTTGTATAGTTTACCTCTTTGCCAAATGGAATACTAATTCTTGACTAATTTAATTACAGTAGGCTCTTCATAAATGTTTTTTGATTGATTGAAAACCGTTTATAATCTGACCCTTTCATAACTTTTCAGTCTTTCCTAGACTTCACTCCTGACCCTCTGACTTTATTTTTCATGCCATGAAAGTCTCCTTACCATGGAAGTTCACTTCACTCTGGATTTTTTACACTGTCCCTGTGGTCCTTTCCCTTGATTGTCCAGTTCTTTCCAGGAACCCCATTTGAAAGAGAATGCTCAACTCAGCCATGTCTTCATTCTTTCCTGACTCTCCAGGATTTCTCTACCATGCCCTCACTTAGGGTAACTTTTATGTGTTGTCTTCCCTCACTAGAAAGTTATGTCTTAGAGGGCACAAGGAACTGTCTTATTTTCTCCTATATTTGCATTCTCAGCTCTTAGTATAGTGCCTGACATCTTATACCTTACCTGGCTCCAAGGAATTTAAAATCCACTCTGGCCTACTTTCTGTTCCTGGAACAAGATACTCTGTCTCCTAACCCCAATACATTTTCATTGACTATCCCTCATGCTTGAAATTCTCTCCCTCATTGTGTCTGCCTCCTGGCTTCCATAGCTCCCTACACGTAGTCTCAGCTTAAATCTTACCTTATCCGAGAAGCCTTCCCTAGTCCTTCTTAATGGTAATTCCTTTCCTCTGAGATTATCTCCAATTTATCCTTTATATTTCTTGTTAGTATATAGCTATTTGCATATTAACTTCCCTATTAGATTGTGACTTCCCTGAGTATAGAGATTATTTGTCCCTGTCTTTGTATCCCCAGCACTTAGTACCATGCCTAGCACAGAATAAGCGCTTGCAGACTTTTCTTGACTTGTCTAATATTTTGTAGTATAATTTGAAGTCTTATAATACTATATTCCCTTCACTTGTACTTTTTCTCATTATTTCCCTTTAGGTTTGGACCTTTTGTTCTTCTAAATGAATTTTTAAATATTTTGCATAATTTATTATAAAGTTATCCCTAGGCAATTATTGGTTAAGCACTATATTTGTAAATGGATTCTGGTAATGTCATTTTTTTTACTACATTGGCGCATCCAAAATACAAGCCCTTATGCAAATCTCCCTTTATTTATATAAAGTGTGTTTTGTAGTTGTATTTATGTATGATCCATGTGTCTTGGTAGAGTACTTCCAGATATTTTATGTTTTTTGTAATTACTTTGATTATAATTTGTCTTATCATTTCTTCTTGGCTTTTATTAGTACTGTATAGAAATACTCATGATTTTTTGTGGATTTATTTTGTGTCTTGCTGACTTACTGAAGTTATTGTCTTAGTTTCTTTGCTGATTCACTTGTATTTTCTAAATAGAACCTCATGTTATATGCAGATAGTTTATTTTGTCTTATCTTTGATGATATGTTTACCTATACATTTATTCTCATTTTTTCTTACTATAGCATTTCGATGATTATACCAAATAATAGTAGCATTTTGCATCTGTTTGTACTTGAAAAGCTCCTAGAGTTTTCCTATTGATACAAGTAACTCCTTATTAATTGTATATGTATTCTCCATAAACTTGCAAATGTACATATTGTTTCTTCTGATAAAATTTAAGTTCCTCTAGATCAGAGGCTGTTTCATTTTTGTCTTTGAATGCCCAGAATGTATCACAGTGATTGGCACATAATAGGTGCTCAATAAATGCTTTTTTACAGACTGATTGAACTTGAAGTTGTCTACCACAATAGAAGTACAGATCTATATTTCTTTTTTTTTCCTCTAGAAGTCAAAGCTCTCTTTTAGAGATAAAGCTCTGAGGAGAATTCCATGACAAGATACTTATAAGTTTAAAACATTTGACTTAAGGGGACCAGAAATTACTGTTGTTGTATAGTTTACCTCTTTGCAAAATGGAATACTAATTCTTGACTAATTTAAACATTTTTTTTCCCTCAATAGGGGGGGACTAGCAGAAAGGTTAAATCGATTACAGAACAGAGAGCGGTCTGCCATAACTTTTTGGAGGCATCAGAGTTCATCTTCTAACAAAACGCTTCCAGGTAAAACTTGCATAAATATGTATGCTGGGAAATTACCAGATGAACTTATGTGGACATTTCAATTGCATTATTGATTATGTATATTATACTTTGTAAATGGATTATATTTTCCTTATGTTTCAATCATTCTCTAATAAAATTTGCCAAGCGTACAAATCCATACTCCTAAGATCAAACAAGAGCCTTAAAGCCACAGAAATTTTTCTGATATATATATATATTTAAACTAATTTTGAAAACCTTTCTATGATGCTAATGGAGTAGAACACTGAATACACATACATTTTCAAGGATTCAAGGGTAGTTCCTTTCCTGAACAACCCTTTCTCTATTCTTCCATTTGTCCTTTGTGGGGAGGGGTAGCAACTTTTTTACCCTAGAATCATTTCTCTAGGTTAGAGAACATTAACCTGGAGTTTGTGAATTTGTTTTTCATTTTGATCACTATATTTCAGTATGATTGACCTCTTTTGTATTTTATTTCATGCATTTAAAAACATTATTCTGAGAAGGGATCCATAAACTTCACTGGACTGCCAAATCAGTCCAGGATAAAAAAAAAAGTTAAAAATCCCTGTTCTAGGAGTTCTTTTTTTTTTTTAATTTATTTTATTTATTTTTAGTTTTCAGCATTCACTTCCATAAGCTTTTGAGTTTTCAGTTTTCTCAACTTCCTTCCTCTCTATCTCCCCAAGACGGCATGCATTCTGATATAGGCTCTACATATACATTCATGTTAAACATATTTTCACATTAGTCATGTTGTAAAGAAGGATTAGAACCAACGAGAGGAACCAGGAGAAAGAAGAAACAAAACAAAACAACAAAAGAAAAAAAAAGAGATCAGATAGGATTCTTTGATCTTCATTCTGACTCCAGAGTTCTTTTTCTGGACGTGGATAGCATTTTCTGTCATAAGTCTTTTGGCGTTGTCTTAGATCCTTGCGTTGCTGAGAAGAGCCAAGTCTATGAAAGTTTGTCATCACACACTGTGGCTGTTATTGTACAATGTTCTTTGAGTTTTGCTCACTTCACTTGGCATCAGTTCATATAAGTCTTTCCAGGTTTCTCTTAGTCTTCCTCTTAACATTGTTCACCTAAGCACATCACCCCAATTATGTCTCTCTGAAAGGTCTTTCTTAATTTATGAATCCATCTAAAGCCAAGTTCCTGCTAACCTAAAACAAATCTGTTCTTTTGGAATATTTTCATTTGGAGTCCCCACTATAGGCTTGCACTTTTTTTTAAACTTTGATTTATTTATTTAAAGCTTTTTAAAAAAATTTTGAGCTCCATATTCTCTCTTCTTCCCTCTAGCCCCTCTCCTATTCACTAAGAAGCAAGTGATATATCAATTATACATGTGAAATCATGCAAAACATATTTTCCTATTTTACTTCTAAATTAAATTTGTAATCGTTCACACTTTTAGATGACCTATACACTCAAGAACATCTGTGTTCTTTGAGTGGTGTGCATGCAGGGATCTTCCTTGAGGCAGAGGCCTGCCATCAGGTACCTATCTACCTGTCTAAGGCACCTGTTTTACATAGCTGTCCCTCTTTTTCCTTGCCACATGTTGAATTTTACAAATTATGGTGCTAACTCATATTTTTTTGAAGTCCATTTTATTTGGTTTTATTTTTTAGTCAGGAAAATAACATCCTGAGTATAAAAATAAGTCTGATTATTGAGTCTTTAGTCTTATATTTCATAAAATGTCAACCAGAACAATATGATGTTTTACCATTCAAGAGCCCATCATACTCATAGTGCTTTTTTGTTGTAGTGATCTTTGTTATTGTAACTCATTACAGATGTTGAAGGCATGTGCTTAAGCATCTCACATACCATTAGCTTTGAGAATTGGAGTAACTTTTTTGGTACTACCCTCACCCTTTTGGTCTCTGTTTTCCCAGTACCTGGCATACAATAAACACTTAATAAATGTTTATTGACTGACTCAACAAAATGATCTCTTCTACTAATAATCTAAAGTGATATAGTTATGCCCTAATAATTTTAACATTTCTATCAACTCAGGGAATACAAAGAAGGGTAAAGGGCAATTTGCCATCAAAGAACTCACAATCTAATGAAGGAGATGACAAGCAAAAAAAAAAAGATGGACAAAGCTATATACAGCATAAATAAGAAAAGATTAAGAGAAGGAAAGGCGCTAGAATTAAAAGGGGTTGAGAAAGGCTTCCTGTAGAAGATGGGATCTTAGCTGGGACATAAAGGAATCCAGGGAAACCAGTAGGTGGAGATGGAGAGGGAGAACATTCTAGGCATGGGGGGATAGCCAGAGAAAATGCCCAGAGCTGAAAGATGGGGTGTCTTGTTTGTGGAAAAGCCAGGAGGTCGGTGTCACTTCGTTGAAGAGTATGTATTGGGGAGTAAGGTGTAAGAAGACTGGAAAGGTGGGAGGGGGCTAGGTTATGAAGGGCTTTGATTCTGCAGGTGATAAGGAGCCACTGGAATGTATTGAGTAGAAAAGGTGACATAGTAGTAGTTGGATGAGTGGGGATGGAGGGAAGTTTAAGAAAAAAGAGAGCTAGAGAAATGAACTGGACATCTTGCTTTTCCTAAAGTGCCTATAGGGAGGAAAACCCTAGTTGCACAAGAAAAAAAAAATCAGTACATTATCTAATTGTATATTATCCATAAAGATATTAGAAAAATAGACAGGTGAATTGAACATTAATTAAGCACTGCTGTGTGTCAAGCACTATACTAAACGTTGGGGATATAAAACCAAAATACAAGAACAGTCCCTGCTCAAGGAGTTCAGATTTTAATAGGGAAAGACAGAACATACTGGGATAAGCTGTGTGGAAGGAGAGCAAACTTAAGAGTGAGCTAGAGGTGAAGTGAGAGATTTTGTATATTATGAGAGACTTTGTCAAATGAACTGCTGAAATCTAAGTCTACTCCATTAGCATTCCCCTCACTTATTAATGGGCAGCTAGATGGTGCAATAGATATCGAGTGCCAGGCCTGGAGTCAGGAAAACTCATGTTCCTGAGTTCAAATCTGATCTCAGACAATCCCTAGCTGTGTGACCTTGGGCAAGTGAGTAAACCCTATTTATCTCAGTTTCCCCATCTGTCAAAAGAGCTAGAGAAGAAAATGGCAGGGGCAACTAAGTGGTGCAGCGGATAGAGCACTGGGCCTGGAGTCAGGAGGACCTGAGTTCAGATCCGGTCTCAGACCAGACACTTGACAATTACTAGCTGTGTGACCCTGGGCAAGTCATTTAACCCCCAATTGCCTTGCAAAAAAAAAAAAAAAGGCAAACCACTTCAGTATCTTTGCCAAGAAAGACCCCAATGGGATCACAAAGAGTCGTTCATGACTGAAACAACTGAACAACAGCAATCTGACTTATTCCCCTGGTCTTTTCCTCCGTATAACCAGATAAGTCTATCTATTTATAGTCCTGTCATACTAAAGCTTCTGTTTTTCCTTCTTTGTTCTTCACCCAAATGCTGTCACCGAGCCTGCGCATTTTGATGCATGGTCTTCCTTCCTAAAGTTTGTCATCTTGATATATAATGCTTTAATCTGTTTCTTTTGAATGAAAGACAAATCCTTCCTTTCTTCCTTCCTATCCTTCCTTCCCTTGCCATGTTATAATCACTAGTCATAGCCAATCAAGTCTTAGAGACATCTTGTTTTCTTTTTTGTTACTCATGCAACGTACATTTATGTGGATAACAGTCTATAATTAGTAAGACTTTTTTATATACAGAATTCTATTTCTCCACTGATAGTCTTATTTCCCTTGTGTCCTATGTGCTACTTTCTGTGGTGTCTGGCTTAGCAAAAATATGGGGGATAATTTTCTTCCTTCTCATTTCTTTCTAATTGAAAACCTATATGAACAGATCAACAAGACTCCAGCCATCTACAGCCTTTGTATATGGAAACAGTAGTTGTGTTTGGTACGTGTTAAATTCAGAATTAAAAAAAAAATTGGGTTGACTTGAAGACCTATGAAGAAACTTCTAATTCTGAGCTTCTAGAATTCTTTGTGGTACTGTCAAAACAAATCTCTGGCTGGGTTACAAGCAATGGCTGGATAAATCATGACCATTTCATGTGATATGCATGCTGTCAAGCAAAATTTACCTTCCACTGGAGGGGGCAGTTTGTTGTTTTCTTAGTTACACTGGACATTACTAATTTTCTATCATTATCTTTATAAATGTCCCAGTCCTGACTCAGCATAGTGCACTGTACCGGAAAGACAGGAAATTCCAAAGTTCTTATAATGTCTTCTGTAGCTTTGAGTAGAAGTGTTCAGTAAGAAAAAAGCTATTGTTTAACTGAGTGGAATAGGGAAAGAATTACATTTTGTAAGAATTCCCCCAAACATTGGTTTGCTTAAGTGTTTATCAACCAGTTCCCTTTCAAATAGTATAGCCAAAATGGGAATGGGTTGTATTACTGTGGTGGGCATGGAATGCAACATAAATCTCAAATGCATACTAGTCAAATAAAGGTATTGTACCAATCCTCAACTGTTATTTAGTGACTGTAGTGTACAACTCACTCTACTTACTGGATGATATAAGGAATACAAGAGAAATAGACATGCTTCGTAGGGTTGACCATTTAGTTGAGGAGAGAGGGCATACCTATATGAAATAGCTAATAACAAATGTGAATGTATGATGATTTCATGGAAGATGGCTGAAATTAAAGTAATGGGGGAGAGGGTGGCCTGCCCTAATGGAGATCTGAGACTGGAAGGATCAAGGGAGAGAAATGGGTAAAGGGAAAGCCAGAAGAGGGAGAATGTCTGCAGCCTCCATACAGGAGGAAAAGCATTTCAACTATGGAGGGTAAGGGGACGGCATCTTCTGAGGCAAAGAGTCAGGATATGGAATGCAGAGTTCAGGGAACAGCAGGCAGGCCAAGAGGTTCTGGGAGACTGGAATAGTGAAAATTGTTGGAAAAGCACAATCACTTTAAAATCTCTCACATTAAAAACA